GGCAGGGCAAGCATAATCAAGACCATTTACTTTTCGGTTGGAAGACATGATGATGCTGTATACTGACAGGAGTGACCTAGTAGAAGGAAAATGGATGGTGTGGAGAATATATGGTTGATGGTGTATCGGCTGGTGTGATGTTCCTGACGCAGTGAGCAGTGCCATCTGAGGCACAAACGGAGGAGGCAGATGAATGACAGGAGGCTGGGTGCTTACACTTACTGTGGAAAGCTGAGGTCATTGCGTCCAGCTTTGCAGGTGGGAGACAGGTATCCCTTGGAGTTGCCCTGGAGTTGCATAGACAGAGCTGAACACATTTCTCAGCCTGTATAAATCTGCAGGTAGGCCTGTGGTAGCTCTGCTTATGGTAGTGTAGAGAAAGAGAAGGACATGGGTTATTAAAAATTACATAGTGTTGGGGCTGGCAGGTGGCATGGTGGTTAAGGATGCTGGACTCCCACATGGCCCACTGTGGTTCGAGTCCCAGACCTGGCAGCTTGCTTTCTTACTTTCTCTCTCTCTCTCTGTCCCTCTCTTAGGCAAATTGAAATAAATAAATAAAGTTAAATAAACAAGTAATTCTTTAGAGGGAAAATACATATGTGTGTGTGTGTGTATAGCTGTATCTCTATATCTATTTAGATACAGTGTTTATGGGTTGTCCCTGTGGCCTGGTGGTTAAGGGAGCTGGATCCCACATGGACAACTCCCCAGCTCAAATCCTGTCCCTGGAGGCCTAAGAAACATGCTGGGCACACGTGTGTCGCAGATCTCTACAAGTTGGAGGAATGGAGGAGGGATTATGGTGTGACCACACCCCAGCTGGGGAGTGCTTTCTCTTGCCCTCTCTGTCTCCCTCTGGCAGGACACATGCCCTCTGGCAAATTCAGACAAACAAAACTAGTGTTTAACCGTAGATTACGTACACAACATTTTGATTTCCTTTTTTTTTTTTAACCTCCTTTGTCATTGCGTCCAGCTTTGCAGGTGGGAGACAAGTATGCCTTGGAGTTGCCCTGGACTTGCATAGACAGAGCTGAACACATTTCTCAACCTGTATAAATCTGCAGGTAGGCCTGTGTAGCTCTGCTTATGGTAGTATAGAGAAAGAGAAGGACATGGGTTATTAAAAATTACATAGTGTTGGGGCTGGCAGGTGGCATGGTGGTTAAGGATGCTGGACTCCCACATGGCCCACTGTGGTTCGAGTCCCAGACCTGGCAGCTTGCTTTCTTACTTTCTCTCTCTCTCTGTCCCTCTGTCCCTCTCTTAGGCAAATTGAAATAAATAAATAAAGTTAAATAAACAAGTAATTCTTTAGAGGGAAAATACATATGTGTGTGTGTGTGTGTGTGTGTGTGTGTATAGCTATATCTCTATATCTATTTAGATACAGTGTTTATGGGTTGTCCCTGTGGCCTGGTGGTTAAGGGAGCTGGATCCCACATGGGCAACTCCCCAGCTTAAATCCTGTCCCTGGAGGCCTAAGAAACACGCTGGGCACACGTGTGTCGCAGATCTCTACAAGTTGGAGGAATGGAGGAGGGATTATGGTGTGACCACACCCCAGCTGGGGAGTGCTTTCTCTTGCCCTCTCTGTCTCCCTCTGGCAGGACACATGCCCTCTGGCAAATTCAGACAGACAAAACTAGTGTTTAACCGTAGATTACTTACACAACATTTTGATTTCCTTTTTTTTTTACCCTCCTTGTTTCCCTTTTAATTTGTATAGAAGCCAGTGGCTTAGCTAAATCCCAGTTTAAGATCTCCCTCACTGATGGACATTGGATTTCATTTCTTCAAAACTCGTAGAGTCCTGGCCCGGAGGGTGGCACAGTGGTGGCACAGCTGGGCCCACGTGTGGAGGGTGATCTTATGTTTACACCTCAGACCACCCTCTGCTCATGGAGCTTGCACTCCAGGCTGGCTAATGCTGGGGGTGGGTCACAGTGTGGGCGCCCTTTTGGGGGTGCCTGTCTCCGTCTCCTTCGTTACATGGGGGAAACGGATAAATGGACTTTACGGAAGA